CTTCTGTTAGTGTATTGATTAAAAAATAACATACATGTTGATCTATCTCCTAATTGAATCTTTTTTTTCTGTTGTCTAAATCAATGCTGAAATATTTCAATTTAAAAGAGCGTCCAGTATTTGCTCCAGTCAGCCACCTCAGTCACAAACCAGTTGACATGTTTGCTTTGTTTTTAATACCAGCGTGTTTGACTACGGTCAACAAGTATGCATGAACTTGCTTTGGGATTGTTGATTTATTTTAAATGGGGTAAATTGATAAGTTGTATACCCAAAATTTAGTGTTTTATTTAATTTCCTTCTAAGGTTATAAAACATCTCAAATATACATAAGTATACATATTGTGCCTCTATTACAAAAGAGTTGTTAAAGGGAGGTAACTGTATATTAATGGAAGAATTTTCTTTTGGTCAGACTGTGACCAAAGCAGTAATCTTTACTGAAAAGGTTACATAATGTCTCTAAAAGAAAAAAAAATCACATAAATGACAATAAAAGTCATTAAAAGGTTATGTTGATGTTTTGTGTTCATGTAAACATTTACCTATTAGTAAATTTAATGTCGAATTAACTATCATCTTTCTGTGGTAATTGTTATAGCGATTGGCTTCCTGGTTTTTACAAAACTTTAGAATTACCACTTTACACTATAAACTCTTTTCTCGTTTGCTATTTCTCTCTCTATCTCTATATGTCATATATATATATATATATAATATATATATATATATATATACACACAGACACACACACAATACTACAAAAGTAATACATCCTATTTCTTTCACTGAAACTACAACAGATACAGTGAGCATAATAACACGGTTGGATAGAGCAATTATTCAGACTATTGTCCCCATCTTTGTCACCATATTTATTACATCATTTCAGCCATTGTACACTCATGCCTTCTTCAGGTGGTTAGAATGTCGAACTGGACCCTTTATTTCACTCACTGGGGTAGACTGTTCTAGTTCCACGTGCCATGTTTTTAATGGATGTCAGTTATCAGTTATCTCCTGTTAATCCCCCTCTCCAAGTTCTCCACTGCCATTAACCACCAAAGATGAGGACAATAGTCCGAATAATGTAAATAGTGTACATAATACCTCATCTCAGAAATATAGACAGATACATTAAAGGAAGCTGTGGAGAGTCATGATTGCCTATGTCCTGGGAAGATATAGTATGAGAAAAACTGAATTAATCTTTCTATTGTTTGAAGTGTGACTTAGTGAAATTTTCATTTTTCTTTGACAATTGATTCAATGTCTTTTCAAATTCAAAAATAAGAAATAGGATTTAGGATACTGATATTTAAGGAGTGTTTTTTCAAGTACATTCCCCCTTTAGAACATGAGTGATAATATCTCTCCACAACGTCCTATTATTAACTCTAAGCAATATTTATCCTCTTACTACACCTCCTAGTCTCTGTAATGTTATCCATTTGTGTGAGTTCATAAAATATGTTACTCAATGTTCCCTTGTTCTTTTGGCTTTTAATATGCCCTGTGAGCAAAATAAAGTGCCTGTAAAACTAGTTTTCTAATTCCTGCTTCATGGCAGTTCTCTAATCTTTTAAAACTCGCTCCAAGGATAAATAGCGTGAAAGAACATTTTGCATCAGTTCTCTCAATGATCTTTGAAAATCAGTATTTTATTTTTTGGTTTGTGACATGAGCTCAAACAAAGTTTGCTGCTATCATCAGGAAATATGCAAGTATGTCAAACACGAGGCGAGACAAAAGGAGGTTTTTGCGTGAATGTATACATGTTTCAGTGAATGACACTTATATAATGTATGAATTATTTTTTTCTGTGGGATTGAATGTGAAAAATGTCATGAATTCTGCCTTCCCACCCCTGACCCTTACTCCCATGCATTTTGCTACTTCTCCATTTTCACAATTGACACACTCACACACACACATTCATCTTCTGGCCATAAACGCTTTAGAATATGATTAATTTGGAGAGATTAAGCATTTCTTAAATTTTGACCATTTTGTCTGACACAGATTGGAAGTGTGGAAAGTTAATTTGATGTGCAAAGTTCAATCCCTGCTTGATCCTATTTTGTACAATGTTTTGTGCTAATGTTCTTAGAAAAATCATAAATCTATCTATCTTCCAGCTATGGGTTAAATAACAGAGCTGGCTGGTTTCTCTTGCCTTGAGGTGGCAATCAATCTAGGAAAAGAAAACCTATGAATTCAAAATCAGCCTGAGAGAGATAGGCTCTGTCAAGCTTTCTTAGCCTTGATTCACTACTGCTGCTGCTATGACTTTTGTACATGTGGTGCCCTTACAGCAACTAATGTGATAAGGGGACTTGTGATGTAACCTGCATAAAGAGAATAATATAGAGATAGAGGGACGGTATTTGCCCTTGAACTATTTATACAATAATTAGCTTAAATTTCTTAAAAAAAATAAATAAATAAATAAAATTCACTGATAGCTTTTGTACATACCTATTCAATAAAAAAGTGGACCTCCACTTTTTTATTGAATCAATAAAAAAAGTGGAGGTTCACTTTTTTTATTGAATAGGTATGTGCAAAAGCTATCAGTGAATTTTATTTATTTTTATTTATTTTTTAATAAAAATATTTCAAACATTTGCACAAACACACACCCACATTCATATTATTTAAGAAAGAGTCAAGCAGCTTCCTAAAAAGAATCAAGATATTGTTTCTGACAGCTTCGTCCTTCCCTTTCCCCACTAATACACCAATTATTTGACCCTGTACTTTAACATCATTTTTCTACCCAGCCATCATCTGTGTCTGTACAAAACTAAGCTAAGCTCAGTAAATAAGTATTTACCAGCTTATGCCGATACATGCATATATGACATACCCTTAGGGCCTGTTTAGTAACTGTTGTAGTTGTGCATTTCCGATCAGTGTTTAGTGTACAAGCTCAGCTAAAAGCCACAAATTAAAATATTGATTTTTAAGGCATTTAGGCCCTCCCCTACTTGGAGAATTGGCACAACACTATCTTTCATTCTTGGACTTGTTTGGTATCAGATGTTGATGTGAATTGTCCACTTGGATCAGGAATCAGTGCCTTAGCCCAAGTAAAGGTTAGAATGGGTTAGGGATAGGGATTTGAAAAGAAATCCGTAGGCTTAATTCAAATTCCAGTTAACTTTGTTAGGTTCATTTTTTACACAAATACTCTTGAGACAAATATGAATTCATCTTTTCTCATCCCAGCTATTGGCTAAATAGCTGGACTGGTGGCAACCAGTCAAAACCAGCCTAAAGAGAGATGTACTCCATTAGGCTATATTGCACTAGATACATCACTGTTATTGTCATATGTGGTACCCCTATGATCATAAGGAGTTATGAGACTTGTAATGTGAAAAATACAACATGGATGGGCAAACTACAAGCTGTGAGCTGCATACAGCCTGTTTGAGGATTTTATGAGGCCTACAAGAACACAACAAACATTTTTAAAATATCCATTAGTAGATTTTGGTAACTTTTGGTTAAATGTTTCACAAAAAGTAATCTATGCAAAACCAGAATAAAGAACAAAAATGTAAACCATTTACATATAATTATATTTAATAGTGAACCCCAATTATTAGGAAACTCACTTCTTACAAAATTGACTTATTGCATTATGTATTAATACAGGGGTACCTTGATCACTAATTCTCACATTTTGTCAATGTCAGTACGCCATCATCAGCACATTGTAAGCAGATAAAGGGATCTAGGTGAAATGCTTCACAAGATTTATCAAGAATTTCTTATTGCAAAACATTTTTCTCAATGTTCAGATCTCATTAATATTAATGAAATATTAATCTAATTTCTCCAACTTTTGTTCAACTATTCCCAAATTTTGTCCAATAAGCAAATAGATGTACAAATAACATGTGCATGTAGGATTGTCATTTATACTGTCACTGTGAAACTGAAGTAGTTTACATTTGGCCAACTATGATGCAGCCCTCCATGAAAAAGCTTTGCTCACTCCTGAGTTAGAATAAGATCAGGCTTATTTAGATACATTGTGCAGCAGAAATCTTTCATATAATGGTAAGACATGAGTGGTAATGGTAACTTCATCTTGCTAATATCTTACCATTATGTGGAAAGTATTTCTACTGCAACCTGTATTTGTTTAATGAGAATATTTGGTGAAGAAGAGAATTGAGTGAGCATACTTCATCTTCCACTTTTTATTGACTATAAATTGTTTTAAACTTCTTTTTAAATCACGGTTGGTCACCCTTCCATAATACTAATAGGGGGTTCACAAGCAACCTTCATAACCTCACCTTCTCGCAATGAGTCTTTTAGTCTTTACATATATGAGCAAACTTGTCTTGCTACCTTTTATGTTTGGCCATTACGATGTTTCTGACTCAAGGAGGAGTTCTGTTGCCTTGACTTCTGGGCAGACAAGACATATACACTCAGAGTATCACACTTGTATCTTCTTTTATAGTCAGAGATCTGAACCTTCAAGTGACTTAGAAGGAGGCTATCTTATCAGCAGGTGTATAATATTGGGGCTATTGTACTGCCATTTTGTGAATGGTTTCTGGACTATGCAGTAGTTTCCAGTGGGGCCTCTCGATGCAATGGTGAAGGCTACTGTTATGGCAGTATCTTCAGACGATTCTATCTAGGTTATTTATACATGCAACTCCTGTGGATGTGTCTGTTTCACTGCTTACTTGTCTTCCACCAACCAATACACACATGAAGCCAATTAAAAGGAATATAACTAGCAGACCCAACCTCCAAAAAAAGAAAAAATAGTAGACCCCAAGTAAACTGTCTCCTACACCAGTGTGAGGGTCTACGTTCCAACTTTCCAAAAATGGAACTCCATCTTCTTCAGTCCAAAGCCCAAAATAGTGCAACTATGTCTTCACCATCTGGCTATGCACAAGAACTGAAAAATCTGTTGGACATGAAGTTAGCAATTGTACCATGCATTACTTCCTCCTCCTGCTTATGCCCACATCACATTGAAACACCATTCCCATACAATCACCAAAGTTAAGCAATGTTGAGCCTGGTCAGTACCTAGATGGGTAACTGTTTGGGAATACCATGTACTGTAAACTTGGATGTGCAGGTGGTATGATGGATAATAGCTCAGAATTTTTAGTCGGAGAGCCAAGTTCCAATTCCTGTTTGGTTCATTATATTCACTTACACATAAATACCCTTTGGAAAATGTATGACTCTATCTCTTCTTCCCCAGCTATGGGTTAATTAGTAAGACTTGTATCACTAAACCATTATTATCTCCCCAAAATTCTTACAATCTAAAAATATTTTCTGGCTTTAAATAACCTGCAAATGGTTGATAAGCCATAGAAAAACAATCAATCTTCCTCCTCCTCCCATACAGAGTTCACATCTGACGAAGGTTGTAAAATAGATTGATTGAAACATCATAGTCTCAAAATAAAGAATGAATTCTGTAATCTGAACAACTCCTTGAATAAATTTCTGAATATATTTATTTTTCTGTTTTTTGGAAATTCAGATCAGTGATAAAAAAACAGCTTCAAGTGAATTAATCCTATAAGTCTGTAATCCTGTAAAATCAGAAACAAAATGCTTTACCAAATAATAATAAATGCACACATCACTTGAAGACTTCCAGCAACAAAATGGGTAACACATGGAACTAGAAAGGAAAATAAGATGTTCACTTTCTATCCTGCATTAAACAAAAGGTTTGGAAGGAAACTCCAAGGAATACTAGAACAAGCAGCAACAGTGGAGATATTTAATTTCCTGAAAAACAGTTTTGAATTTATAAATTTCAAATGACTCTAATGCTAACTGTTCAGTCAGTGAATGGTAAATGTTTTTTCGTGTATAAATAGTTAATTTTGCAATTACCATTTATGTATTATATACTTTTTAACAGGTGAAAAGTAACAACTGACTGTTTTAATAACTCCTCAAACGTCAGAAGGTTAGTATGTAGAATTTTCTGAAAAGTGATCTGTTGGATTCCATCGTTTTGGCATTATGAATAAACTAACCCACAATAAAACAAACAAGACACCTTTCGTGCATTTGATATTTAAAATGTAAAAAAAAAAGATTTGCTGGCCTTTTTTTTTTATTAACACAAACGTTAAGCTTCTTATCAATGGGTTGAAGTGAATGTGACAAATATTTTGTATTTTACTGGTTACATGATTTGTGGGGGGGGGAGGCAAAAACACTTGACCTTCAATGTTTGATGCTTTTTGATCTTTTAAACTAATTACTTTCTGCTTTTGCACCCACTGACTGTGTATACATACACATATATGTAAAAAAAACAAAAAAAAGAGAGAGAGTGAGGTTGATGGAAAGGCAGTTTGTTAAAAAAAATATGTATTTCTCTGTCTCTCTCTTTCAATCTGTATTTCTCAGCAAATGAATATTTTTGCATCCAACTTACAAGGGAGGGAGACTTGAGTGCAAAAGTGGGTATTCATTTGTGAATGTAAGAAATACATTTGGCAGAAAGTTTGTTGGTATCATCTGCATGTTTGTTTGTTTGTTGAGTGTGTAGGAGATTTTTATACCGTAATAAAATCTGTATACCTACATTTTCAATTTCATTGTGTGTGTGTGTGTGTGTGAGTTGTTTGTAGTAAATAATTAGCGTTTTTTTTTTTTTTTGTTTTTTTTTTTTAAAATATATAGCATGTATAAATATATCTGAATTAATTTAATAGAGTTATCTGACCATAATGAGCGGTGTATCTGTGAAACTTGAAGGCAAAGATAAGTATTTTGAATGTTATCTATTCATCATACACACACACACACTATTACTATAAACATAACTATATTATTATAAACATTATGTTTATTTACTATAAACATTTTTAGTTACTTTAGTTACTATAAACATTATTTTTAGTTGCTACACATGGCTGATAGCTGTCCCTGGTTTTGTATTTATTTTCTTAAATAGTAAAAATAATAACAACCGCGGCCTTGATTGAAAAGTCATAATAAAGAAAGATTGTACCAAAAACGCCCCCCCTTCCACCCTCCACAGGAATTAAACCTGCATCCCTTTTTTTCCAATCAGGGAAAGCTTGTTTTTAACCAAAGTGTGCCCATGCTAGTTCAGCCATGGATCAAGATAGACAGGACAAAGTTTGCATAAATCTATTAATGAAAGACCATCTTCTTTGTAATTTCTGCAAATCTATATCTGCTCATTTCAGTATCTGTCTATATTTCTGAGATGAGGTATTATGTACATTATTTACATTATTCGGACTATTGTCCTCATCTTTGTTGCCATATTTATTACAATGTTTCGGATCCTTCAGTATCTGTCTATATTTCTGAGAAGAGGTATTATGTACATTATTTACATTATTTGGACTATTGTCCTCATCTTTGTTGCCATATTTATTACAATGTTTCAGCTGTTGTATGCTCTGGCCTTCTTCCATTAGTTGGAATGTCGAACTGAACCCTTTATTTCGCTCACTGTGGTAGACTGTTCTAGTTCCACGTGCAATGTTTAATGGATGCAGTTACCAGTTATCTGCTGTTAATTTCCCTCTGAAAGTTCTCCACTGCCTTAACAGGACACATGGCACGGTGGATAAAGGCGTTAGTTAGATCCAGTGACAGGACCCAAAGAGTGTGAGTTCAATGCCCGGTTGCTCTTGTCAAAATATTTTAGTATGTTACATCAAAAACATGTAAAAACATTACACTAAATGCAATCATATTTCGATGTGTAAACACATCTCATCAGGCATTAGTAAGACCTATTAAAATCTAGTAATATCATAAAATAAAGAATATTGCTCTACTTTTGTATCTATGATATTAGATTTTATAAAAATAATTGGAATGTACCCAAAAATATGAGTGGCTGAATAGTACTCTCTCTCTCTCTCTCTCTCTCTCTATATATATATATATATATATATATATATATATTGAAAAATATATAGAAAATAGGAAAGAACTCGTTAGGTAAATAATTCAAAGTTCTTTAGTATTTTTGTTATTATTTTTAAAAAATAGTGCTCAATACAAAAGTAGAGCATAAATATAATTATTTGTTTAAAAATATGATTCCAACACGCTACATAGTTCTCATGTTTCAAAGCAAGAGCCGAAAACTTCAATATAATTATTTGAATTAAATTGAATTAAAGTACTAAGCTCTGTTCCATCTTCAAGCGAAATTTTATTTGGTTGAAGTTTTCGGCTCTTGTTTTGAAACATGAGAACTCTTATGTAGCGTGTTGGAATCATATTTTTAAATAAATGATTATATATACATACATATATATATATATATTTCTACCAAACTATGCCAAAATCCATTCCAAAACAGTGTCAGCATTAAATAAGCCACTGAGGTTGATATGCCATAAAACAAAATAACCAACCAAAATCACTGCTTTATCGCTATTTCCATGAAAATTGTTCAGGTGATCTATATTCCCTAGTTTTACCAGTTCAAATCTTACAGCTAGGACCACCATGCTACGCACATTATGGCAACCCACCCTCATTTCCTCCATATTCTATTACTGTGAAGTAACTTCCACTCGAGCAGCTTCTTCCTGCAAACCACTGCCCAGGGGAACAGACTCCCAAGAAGATGTTTTCCCGGTGACTACAATCTTAACCAATTCAAGTCTAGGGTTAACTGTTATCTTCCCCACATATCTGCATAAACTGTGCCTATTAGTTTGTAGCTCCTAGGTCTTGTATATGATGAACCTCACTGTAATATTCATAGTGCTGAAAAGTTATTAGCCTGATCCATTTCCCAAAATTTGACCAAATCACCAAACATCAGAATTTCGAGGACAAAGCATCCTTGATTGGTTTGAAGCACTTTATACCCTCACCCTTTAGCACGTGCCTGTATGGGCATATTGAAAAATTGTCCATCAGACAAATTTAAGACAACAGCATAAAAGAAGCCAAAAATCACTTGTAGATAATCAATAATCAAATATCGATTACCTACATATAATGAGTTCAAGGGAAGTTTTTTCTAATTTCTTGTCGTCTTGATTTCTTCAACATTTTATTTAAAATTTGGTAAAAAATATATTTATGATAATCAGAAATTGTTTTTTGAATGTGTGGAGACCTTCAATATTATAATCTTAAAACCTATGTCTCTAAACAATGACGTAACGGTAAACGAACTGGATTTGTGGATCATTATGAGTTTGTAAGATCCATTTATTGACTGTCCTATTCTTGTGACCATATGCCCAACCATATTAGATATCATAACAAAGTGAGGTTATCAGTGATTTCTGCTATATTTTCGTCATCATATTTCGTTCCGGATGTAGTGTCTTGAGAAATCAAATTTTAAAAATCTATTTTTATGCCAAGTATTTTTATTTAATTGCTTTTTTTTTTTTTTTTCGGCTTTATTCCTCTTTTTTTTTTTTTTTTTTTTCCGCTAAATTTCGCATTTTGTGAACAGGTGTATCACTAACATTTATTGACAATACTTTTCATTAAGAGTAACTGATTTATCTCCCCTTGACTTGAAGCTGTCACTCAACAAAGAAAACCTTATTAAACAGGTGTGGCGGCGGCGGCATTGCTGCTGTATGATTCATTCAGACACAGCTGAAAATTACTACTGTATTTTTTTCTCAACCTTCTCCCCTTTACCCTATATATATATATATATATATATATATATATATATATATATATATATATATATATATATATATATATATATTTGGAGACTGACAGCTTCATAAAATTTTCTGCTAGCCAACAAACAATAAAATATATATATGGGTGCATGTGTACTCATGTGTGTTTGCTGGGTGGATAGGTATATATATATATATGTGTGTGTGTTTTTATATATATATATATATATATATATGTATGTGTGTGTGCGTATAAAAATTCTGTAAAAAGACTGATTAAATTTCATATATATATATATATATATATATATAATTAGGAGTATTTGAGATAATCATAATTAAGTAATTCATTGAGTCTAGAAGAAACATCAACAGAATGCAGAAAGCACTGGACGACCGTTTCATCCTATATTTGGGACACCTTGGCAGTGCAC